GGTGTTGGTCCTGCCCTCAAACAGCCAGCACCAAGTGGGGACCCAAAGCATACAAGAAGCTCGGCCCTTCACAATCACAAGCCGGGGCTGCCAGCTCTCATTTATCTGTATAAAATAGTGATTCAGCATAAGTTATCACGAATGCTAAAGCTCAAGGAAAAACAAATCTAATGGAAGGCCTTTCAGGTGACTGGGCACTGCTAGGGTATCAAAAGCCAGTGATGGGTTTCTAGGGGATGGCTTTCCTCCCACAGCTGCCACTGTGTGACACAGTTTGATCCCCTCCCCTGCCTTGGGGACAAGGGGATGGAGGAGCCATGGCCTGTGCTCACCCTCTCTTCGGCCAGCCTCTTCATCTCCTCCTGCAGCTTACTCAGGATGTGCAGGTTCGGCTTGTTCTTCTTGGCATACTGCTGCAACTCAATGACGCTTTTGTCCGAGGTCTCCTGGGGAGCATAGTGCCTCCATCTCAGGACTGCCCTGGACCCCACACCAGCTGCCCCACCCTCAACCTGTGCAGAGAACATTGTGCAGTCCATGCTGCCCCCACTGCCCCATCCTCAGTGGACAGAAAGCCACAACCTCTTCCCTTCACAGGACAAAAGCACCCTGGTACCCAGATGTCTCTGCTCCTGCCCTGGCATAAGGAAGCTGGACACAGCCTCAGACACAGCCGTAAGCCAGGCACTCACCGTGCCCAGAGCCCTCAGACTGGAGTGGTACCCAGGCTAGGAGGCCGTTAGCCCCAGCCACTAAGCTATCCGCATGCCCTAGACTTTCAGTGCAAGACCCAACAGTCCTGAGGCCGTCCATCTCTCAGGACAACGGCTATTCCCAGGGTGCCAGACCCCACCTGCTCTCCAAAAGCCACATGCTGGACTGCCTGGGCTGGATCCCTCACCCTCCAGCTTAGGAAAGGTTCCCACCCACGGCCCAAAGCAGGCTCTCTCCCCACCCTCAATCTTAGCCTGAGAGGACGCACAGAAGACATACATAAAAGGCACAGTGTCATCTGCACTGCATCCAGGTTTTCTCAACAACACATTTCCTTAGGTTACTCTAAGGATATTGGGAGCCATCACCTCCCTCACCCGCCTTATCATGCCCAGAGCAAGGACCTCTTCAGGGATGGTTTGAGGGTCCACAGCATGATCCTTGGAGTCACCACATGCAGTCCCCACCCTCTACACCGACCACCCCTCCACTTAATTGGGGTGCTGATAACCCAGACCATTTCTATAAACATCAGGGGAAAAATAAAAAATGTAAACACTCACCTCCCAGTACTTCCCTCCACCCAACAAAGCACACAAACCTAAGGGTATTGGTTTAAATCTTAAGATCTTGGCAAAAGCAGCAGAAACAAAACAGATGACACATACAGGCTGTTGAATTAAAGGTCAGTGACTGTAACCAAGAGAGCTGCCCTTGCATGCTCATTCTCCCTCAGCCACTATGTGGCCTCAAATTAGCACAAGGGCTCCTGTCACTGGACTAAGGTCTCAGGGCTGGCAGCACTCACCATCTGCACCTCCTGCTACTCTAGTCCCCTCCCCACACTGCCAGAGCCAGGACTAGGCCCCTTGGGCAGGGATAACCCCCACCCCAGCAAAGTCACAGAAACGACCCAGCAGAGAACCCAAGAAAGGTAGCCATGAACAAGAGCAGAGCTGCTTGAATCTGTCCCCTGTGACAGCGGGACCCCAGGCATGAACTCCAGGGTTGGGAGAGAAGTCCTGTTACCTGTTTGACCATCTTGCTGCTTTCACGGCCATACATGCGCAGTAAAGACCCCCAGTTCTTGACATGTGGGTGAAGGAGCTGCAGGATTTTCTGAGAGGCTAACTGCTTCCCGACTCTCTTATTTTTACCTGTGAAGAGGGAAAGGATATGCAGAGAGGGAGTCACAAACATCCAGCTGTCCACACAGCCATCTTGCCTAAAAAGGAACTCATCTGTCCCCTCCCCCCGAGCTAAAGGCATGTTCTACGGGAAGGGGGTAGAGAAGTGCTCCACCACCAAGCTGAGCACGAGCACCTCACAAACCCTAAACCAGGACCCGCTCTTAGCCCACTTCACAGAACTGTCCATCAGAGGCTCTAGGAGGTCAGGACATGACCAAGGTAGGTCACACAGCTTAAGAGTTCCCCCTCTCACCACAAGCCCATATTTCCAGACACACAGACAAGCAACAACTCGGTGTCATGAAGCATGTGTCCTGAGGCTCATTGGAGGCAGGCATGGGAGGAGGGCTTTACTGGAAGGCCAACAGAAGGAGTTTCCAGAGGGTATACATGTGCTGTGGAGGAAGTTTCTAAACACAGGGAAGGCAAGGCCAGCTACGATTCCAGACAGGGCCTGCGGGCTTGGAGGAGAGTGTCCTGGCACCAGGATCCCTCCTCTATTTCAAGCTCCGCCCACCAACTTAGGAGCACTTCTCAGAGTGACTGGTGTCTGCTGGAGCGCAGGGCACACCAGGTCTCATTGGGGTTCTGCAATTTTCCCAGGGCCAACTTGTACACTACATTCTAAATTACATGACAGTGGTTTTATGTTTATATTAGTTACAAAAAGTTTTCTTTTAAAATAAAATTATATTTTAAAAAATGGTTACTTCAAAACTCAAATTAGGTAAAGAGCATAAGCAATGCACACAAACCAGAAGGCAGAGGGGCAGCACATGCCTAGCACAGGAGTGCAGAGGGTGGCGGGGCAGAGACTCTGCTGGCATTTGAGTAGGATGCCCCCACCTACCACAGGGACAAAGAGCTGGTAGGGGGCAGAGATGGTAGGAAGGGAACACAAGGCCTAGCCAGAATGACCAGTCCAAGCCCAAGAGAGGGAGGACAGAGGCAGCTTAGACAGGACTACCAAAGTCAAGCCTCAGGCTGACTGTGTTTCAGATGTTGATGTCAGATGCTGGTGGACATGACTGTAGGCAGTCAGTGCACATGGCTGGAGCTTGGGAGCAACAGTAGAGCAGTGGCTGGGGACCAAGAAAAGGGGCTCAAAACTCTCACAGAGACCACACGGAGGAGTGCCAGCAGGGTACCACGCCCCCAGTTGTCATATGACAGCATGGTGGGTGGCAAGGAAGGGGTGGGGTCCTTACACCAGCCTCGCACTGTGTGCTTGCCACACGCCATGACATATTCACTCTTCTGATTTTTACCAGGAACCACTTCAAACTTGATGGATGTGTCACCCATTCCATGGTTTCTTTAAAAAAACAACAACAAAGACAACAGGTGACATCAGCTGAGGAGGAGGAAACAGCTGCTTCCAGAAAGTTAAGGGCTCTCTGAAGACAATGCCAACCCTTTTCCCAAAACTGCTTCTCAGCTGAAGAGGATGAGGTTCTCCAAGTACACCCAAACTGATCCCATGGGGCTCTGATGGACCACCAGGCAGAGACACTTTTGTGCATGCCAGGAACACTTGCAATGGCCCTCAGACTTTAGCATTGCCTCTTGAGCCAGGATAAATAGCCAATAAAGATGTTGGGTACCCAAATAGAAGCTCCCAACGACCTGACTTAGGACAGGAAGCCCCCATCCTACCTTTTAAGGCACTCGTGGAGGATCTGATAGGGAGACAACAGTCCGGCCTTGCTGGTCAACTCGTACACCCGCGAGTCCTCAATACTGATGTGGTTAAAATACTACAAAACAAAGCAGCCACTCCTAAGTACTGGCCTTACAGAGCTGTTCCCATGCTGTCTGCTTTCCCCAGAGGCTTCCTGTACTCCTTATCACCTCACAGAGGACCACACACCTCCCACTTCATTGAGCCTCTGAGATATGAACGTGGAGCTATTATACACCAGGCTGATGAGAGTGCCATGCGTGGGGTGGAAGACCCTGGTGCAGTGAGGGCCTGGGCTGCACAGCTAGCCAGCCTGGGAAGCCTTTTCTGAATCTGAATCTTTAGATTTCACACAATTAGTCAGAAATCTAAAGATAAGCAATCCTGGAGAAAAACCTGAAGATCACCATAAGTGAGATTACAGAAAAGAAAAGGTAAGCCAAACAAAAGCTGCAGGATCTTTGTGCTGAAAATGACCAACATCAATGAAAGACATCAAAGAAAACTTCAGTAAATGGAGGTTTTACAAATGAGAAGACTGTTGTTAAAAATAGCAATTCTCCCCAAATGTATCTATAGATTTAACACAATTTTAATCAAAATCCCAGTAGAATTTTTTTGTATATATTGACAATGTTTCTAAATTCCATATGGAAAGGTGTTTTTGAAAAAGAACAAAAAGAATTCACACTATTTGATTTCAAGACTTCAAGTTATCATGACAATGTGGAATTGGTGAAAGGACACACAGATCAAGGGGACAGAATGGAGAGTCCAGAAAGAGACCCATACATGCACCATCACTTGGCTCCTGATAAAGGTGCAAAGGCAATTCCAGTTAAACATAAATCTAATGTATGGCCCAGCAAGCCCAGGCTAAGTGGTTACCAATGCTCACATGGAAACCTGGACAGCTTCACAGCACCCTGTTGCTAATCACTCAAAATTGGGAACATGCCCTATACCCCTCAAGTGGGGGAAACACATCCACAGGGCCCTGTGGTGGGCACTACTCAACAGTAAAACAACCCAGCCATTGACACAGGCACCGGCACGGAGGGTCCCATGTGCATCATGTGCACTCAGAGCCTGGTTCAAAAGCTGCCTACCCTGTGACTCCATTGACAGAATATTCTGGAACTGCTAATCTATAGGAATAGTTCAGTGCCTATCAGGGTATACAGGTGGAGGGAGTTTTGACTACAGAGACAATTTGAGAGAATTGGGGGGGGGGGGG